GATAATATATGTTAATTGTGCAAAAACTGATGAGATATAAGTTCATCAGAACATCGATAATGTAGAGTTCCACTTTAATGGACACTTCGCCCCTTGCTGATTTTGCACACTGTTGTTGTTTTTTTTTCTTGTCTATTTCTATCCAGTGCATATGATGAATATTCTTCTTTTATTTTCTGTCATCTCTTCTGATATTTGATATGACGATTATTTATTTCTGATGCACATATAGGTTTTTATTTTAATTGAAAAAAATAAATTAATCTTTGTCGATGATTTTTTTTTCTAGTACTCGACGTTTTCCAGGTTACAGTCGAGAAGGTAAAAAATTCGATGCTGATGTTCATCGTCAACATATTTTTGGCTTACATGTTTCAAATTATATGACATCACTTAAAGATGAAAATCCAGATGCTTATTCTAAACAATTTTCACGTTTTGTTAAAGCTGGAATTGAACCAAGTTCGGTAAGATTTATTTTAACTTGTCGTAACAAAAAAAAACAACTCTTTAAATTGTTTTACATTATTCTTTAGTTTGAAGCTTTATATAAAGCTGCACATGCTGCTATTCGTGCTGATCCATCACCCTCACCTAAGAAAGAAAAGAAAGCTGATGCACCTAAACCAAAACGGTAATTAAAATATTTTCTTTTTCTTCAAATGTTAATCTATGATGTATGTTTTAGTTGGAATAGAGTTAAACTTGCTCGATCGTCACGTAAGAATCGTGTTCAACAACGTAAAACAGCGTTTCTTAAAACGGTACAAGGTGGCGATAATGAATAAACGATCAAACAAAAAAAAATTACAAATGAACAATATTAAATAAGATCAGTAATTTTATGTTTTTGTTTTCAACATCATTATTGTCAATCGTTTATTCTTGTTTACATTTTATTGTCAGCATTTGACTGTTGATGAAAGAAAAAGAAGAAAAAAAGAAAAATAAAACAAACAAAAAAAGCGAAAACAAAGTCATGATTGAATTAAATTGAATGATTTCAATTAAAATATTCTACTTTTTTTTTCATTTGATATAAATATTAATAGTTTATAACATGATGAAGAAAGAATTTTGAAAGTAAAAAAAAATGTTAATCATAAACTTGAAGTTTTATATTATAAATGATCGAGGTTTTCATTTTATTTTTATACTAAAAGAATATTAATATTAAACGAAAAAAAAACAACAAATGTGTATTCTCAGCCAATTTGTTATGAATCGAATTGAACGTATAAATGTCACATGAGTCCGAGTTCATGTCCTGCAGTTTGGCCGAGTATTCGATTTCATCTTCGGCAAATTATCATTACTCTATTTATTGAAGCTATTGTCAATTAGTCATGTGAAGACGTCTTCCGTAGTGCACTTCATATATTATTAATTCAAAATAAAGTAGAAAAAAAATGACAACAATATTTTTAGTTTTCCTAAAGTCTTCAATAAACAAATAAATGCGATAGATTTGAAATAATTTGAATAGATATATCAACATCAATACATTCAAAAAAATAATTCAATGATAAGATACACAAAAGAAATATCAATTATTTATACAATGACAGTGTTCTGTTTTGTTTGTTAAAAACTCATTCTCATCCATTACAACATTAACATCTGATCGACTAATTTCATTGCATCAAAAGTTCTTTTTCCAATCTCATTATATCATAACAATGAAAAATAAATTGCCACTTTATTTAGATATAAATATAGTATTTTCTACAAATAACGAAATTTCTTTTCCATTCAACAAATAGAAAAAAAATCTTTAATCTTGTCTTCAACATTATCTAGTTTTTCTCTGCTGTGATTAGAAAAATTCTCATAATATGCGAGCTACTATTCCAAAGAGAGCTTATATTACATGAATTGAGACAACAGGTAAATTTGATGCAACAATCTCCATTGGAATAAAAATACATCTTTTTAAGCATACATTTAGATTATTATGAGTCAAATCATTCTCCTGTTGATATCAAAAAAAAAAAAGATCCTCAACAGACATGAATAAATGAAGTTATGCTTGTTTGGACAGAGTCGTTATGATAATCTTGCACAATGTTGTTTATTCAAAGCAATTTTTAATGTTTTCATATTAGGTGGATACGAAAACGAAACTATTTTTCATATGTGAATATGCTCTGTTATTTATTCTATTTAAATAATGCACTAAAATGAATGAGAGCCATTAAATTGAGAAATGAATAGTCTTTGCATTTGATCATAATATAAATTTATTTCATCGAAAAAAATCATATATTACGCGTCTAATTTCTTGATTAATGATATTAATTGATTTTCTAAAATAAGAAACATATCGTAATTGATAAAACGATTTTTGCCAAATTGAAATTGATTATTGATTTTTTTTTAGAACCACCGTTGATATTCCATTTTTTGGGAAATGAATTTTTTCGAAAATCAAATTGAATTTCTATAATTTAGAAAATCAAGTATTTTCTGAATACTAAAAATTCAAAGAAAGAATAATAACAGTTTGAAAATGTTGAAACTTGAAGTCGATTTTATTGAAAATAGAAAAAAAAAATTACAATATGTCATCCAAAATTTATTCTACTAATTTGATATCATTATTTATCAAATGGATTTTTGAAAAATATATACAAAAATAAATACAAATTTATTTTTAGCGTTGTTTTGATTTCATATTTATTTTAATTATGTAAATAACGTCATTCAAATCTAATTTAAAAATAGACTCCATATTAACAGAACGACAAAAATGACTCACAGTAAATAAGTGGCCGATACCTTTTTACGAATAATAAAAAAGTGTAACAGATAAAGTCGATAAAATTATTTTAATGTATTTTCTAATAATTCTCATTTTTCATAACTATGTCAACTAAGCACAATAAATTTTGAATAATAGAGGAGATGTCAATCATAAGCGTATAACTTCTGTCTGTTCAATTTTGTAGATTCGAAAAATACAAAAAAAAATTCAAAATATCTCGAAAATGATAAGACAATCTTTATATATGTTAATTTCAAAGAATATGCATTAGTTAAATAAAACTCTTATAGCTGGAATAATTTTCATCGTATATCTTTACATATTACGAAACGTTCGGTTTCTTAATTGAGTGTACCACTAGAGAGAAAAACTATATTTCATAGATCTAAAGTGTTTGAGAGGTAATTTAGAAAAATTCTTACCTATCTCAATCTTGTTATGTCGTCTTGCAGAAGTAACTTATCAGTTTAATCTTGATTCATGAGAATTCCTATCGTATTTAAGAATATAAAAAAAAAAAAAAAAAATTATAAGTTTCGTACATGTTCTTATGAATCAAAGTTAGGCTAATAATTCATTGTTAGAAGATAG